TCCCCCTTCTCCCCCACCATAAACCCCCCTTCCCCCCGCTTGGAGCATCAAGGAGAGTGCCTCGCGGAACGCAACAATGGCGGCTCTCACACTCTTCTCCACCTCAGCCAAAAGGGCCCGACTACTCTCTCCCTCCCTCCCCCTCTACCACATCGTTATTCCATCTGGCAACTGGAATATTTTGTGGAATGGAAAGACCTGCAGGAGGAGGAGGAGGAGGAGTGTGACCTCACGCTAATGGCGGGTGCTTCCTGGAAAGCTTAATGCCTCCTGGAGACAATAGAGAACCTGAGGCCGACCCCAGACACGGACAAAAGGACTCCAGTTTCGATTCGTGGCCACTTTTAGGTACCTCGATGATACATAATGACAAGAGCCCTCAGGTCAGACAATCCTTTCCACGAGCTCACTATCCCCTCCCGTCTTTTCCATACCCCCTCCCTGCTTGCCTGCCCCCCCCCCCTCCCTTGCCTCTTCTCTCTCTTTTAATATTATTGAGAGAGAGAGAGAGGTTTCACCACTCTTTCCTTTCCCATTTTCCCTCTTCCTTCTCTTCTGAAACATATCTTTAACTACTTTTCTCTAAGAACTCTCTGTCGAAGTTCTGAATTACTGTTAGGGAGAGGGGAGAGCTTCACTCTTCTTATGAAACACATCTTTTTAGTAAACATATCTCCCAGGAGAGATGTCTCATAGGAGAGATGTGTCCTACGAGAGATGTCTCCTAAGAGAGATGTCTCCTAGGAGAGATGTGTCCTAGAAGCGATGTCTCCTAGGGGGAGATGTCTCCTAGGAGAGATATCACCTACAAAAGATGTATCCTAGAAGAGATATCTCCTAGGGGAGATGTCTCCTACGAGAGATGTCTCCTAAGAGAGATGTGTCCTAGGGGGAGATGTCTCCTAGGAGAGATATCTCCTACGAAAGATGTCTCCTAGGAGAGATGTCTTCTAAGAGAGATGTGTCCTACGAGAGATGTCTCCTAAGAGAGATGTGTCCTAGGGGGAGATGTCTCCTAGGAGAGATGTCTTCTAAGAGAGATGTCTTCTAAGAGAGATGTCTCCTAGGGGGAGATGTCTCCTAGGAGAAGTGTCTCCTATGCAAGAAGAATGTTCATGCTTACCTCCCATGCGAGTCCTGGGTCCTTAGCGTTGGCGGTCCACTTGCCGAGAAAGGGGCCGTATCTGGTGCCCCGGGCGAGGCTGTGCTTGGCCCACACGCCCAAGCCCACGCCCGTGCTGGAGGGCCGCATCTCCAGCTCCAGCGGCACCGCCGACAGCTGCTGCGTGATGAACCTCTCGGCCGCTGCGCTCAGCTCGGCGGCGGCGCCTGCAGCGTTCATGTTGAGGTCGTGGTGGTGGTGGTGGTGGTGCAGCAGCAGGTGGTGGTGGTGGTGGTTGTCGGTGGTGCTGGTGGGCGTGGTTGAGCCGCGGTGGGCGTGGGGGGACACGGAACCGCCCTCGGAGTCAGCTTCACTGAGGTCACAGAGGTCACGGAAGGAACGGTCCCCTTCCTCGCCCGGGACTGGAAATAGGAAAAGAAAAATATATAAAAAATGAAAATTACATAGTTACACAAATCCAAACTCGGCGGAATTATTATTATTATTATTAATTATTATTATTATTATTTTTATTATACACGCGGCGGCCCCCAACTGCTGGTCGTGTCCACCTGTATATATGTCGTTATAGATTCAGCTATTGGAAGCAAGAAGTTCCAAGTAGCACGGGCTATGGCGAGCCCGTAAAAATAAACCTGGCTGTTGTTTGTTGTTGTTTAAGATTCGCTACTCAGAACAGTAACTTCCAGTAGCACCGGCTATGGTGAGCCCGTAGAACCTGGCATTTCCAGCCTTTTTTTTTATACCACAAGCCCGAGGTGCCCCTAATAAATGCCCTTGGAATCCCATAATCTAAGGGAAGGGGGGGGGGGTGAGATGACCAGGAGATAAATGGGTTAAGATAACGCAATCCCCCGATGCGGCAGATGTGCAGCATCCCGCCCCCCGCGTGACACGGCCAGGCGTCCGTCCCCACACCTCTCCTGACGTACGCCCGTCCTCAGCCTCTGTCCGTCACCCGTCCGGTCCTCAGGACCCGTCACCGCGGCAATTACCGTATCCGCCAGAAAATTAACCAGTAATTATAACCTCCTTAGCGCTCTGGCGTGCCACAATGAGTGTCATCTGGCGGGAAGCGTCCGCACTATAGCGCGCGCTGGCGCTGCGCATTGTGGGGTCATGCGGAGTGTGGCGGCTTTTGTTTTACCTCCCTCGACGCATTGTGCGTGTGTGTGTGGAGGAGGGGGGATAGGGGTGGGGGTGGTGGATGGGTAGGGGGATCATCCACCACCGATTTCCCCATTCCCTTCCCTTTTTAAACCTGACACCCACGGGTGTAAGCGGTGATTATGTAATGGTGAGAGCGATGTTGGTGAGGGGTGGTGATGGTGGTAGTGTCAAGAATGGTGGTAGTGGTGATTTTGATGCTGATAGGGGCGGATTTTCTTCGTTAATTAGACATGTTTCAAGCAATTAGTAGCGCATCTGTTGTTTACAGCCTCCGTTTTCTGTTGTCTTCACGTAGCTGATGTAGGGGATCGCTGTCGTTGTTAATGTCGTGGTCATCACACCTTTCGTCGTTGTGATCCGAGGGGAGGATGGCGTGTTGGATCTCTTTGGTAGAGCTTCTTAAAGGAGAAGTATAATATACATATATATACATACATACATACACCATTTACGCATAACCGAGCCACGTGTTTTGTATTATTATTATTCTTGAGCATACAGGTATGTATGTATATTCTTATTCGAGAATATTTCTTGGGACTTGGCTGCCGCAGCTCATTGAGAGGCGGGACCAAAGAGCCAAAGCTCAACCCCCGCAAGCACAAGTAGGTGAATACAAGCTCGCATGCACACGCACGCACATAACACACACACCACAGACGCACACACACTCAACAGTCTCGTTCAAACAAGGGAAGTTAACTCAATGACAAACAAATCCCCCTTCTTCCCTTTCTTCCCCCTCCTCCTCCTCTTATCTATTCCTCCTCCTCCTCCTCCTCCTCCTGCCTCTTTGTCATCCCTCGCTTCCTTGTACTCCTCACCCCTCCTAAGCGGAGCCTGGCGTGGCTGGCAGAGGTCGCCAGGTATTTAGACAAGAACACTCACTCGAGTCTGTTGACTGACCCCGAGGCTGTGTGGGAGTACGTGTCTCTAGACCACCCCCTCTACCCTCACTACCACAACCACCACCACCACCACCATCACAACCAGTACCACCTTCATCCTTCTATAACCATCAAATTACCATTAGAACCGATCCGTGTACACAAATATGAAAGAATGTGTATTCCTACATTGAGTGTATTCAGACAATCATGAGCAGAATTCCAAGCTGCAAGCGATTTCTCAGCGGGTCCTTAGAGATGCGGAAGATCCTAATACAGATGTAGGGGTAACCCAAGGAGCCTCGATCCTCGAGGGATCCTTGAAACCCAAAGGAATATGAAATTTAAGTCGATCACGGTAAAGAAGGGTAAGGGGAGGGGGAGGGGCTTGAGGGATAGTATAGTGAAGATTTCGTATAGTGGAGAGTTTGATGAAGATAGTTTGTGTGTGTGTGTGTGCTCTCCTAATTGTGCTCGCAAGGGTTGAGTTTCGGCTCTTTGGTCCAGCCTTTCAACTGTCAATCAACTGGTGTACAGGTCCCGTAAATTATATTTATAAATAATTATATTTATAAATAAATGGAAAGTTTTTCCCTGAATGCTCTGTGTTCCCTTCTCTGAGGCTGTGGGTCCCTATAATTGCACCAGAGGTGGTACCCCCCCTTTATAAATAAATTATATTTATATATATAATTTGTATATGTATTGTGAATTCCATTGTGTCATATGCTACTTATACAATCACAAAGTTTCTAGACTCACCTGCAATATAAAAATTAAATACAAAATGGATATAATCCCAAGAAGAGGAACGGAACAAAAAAAATGCCCTCTTTCAAGATTACGGAAAGATATCACTCTTGCAAGTAGAGCTATCCTCCCCCGGCGCATTCCTTCTTGCCCTTGCCACCGCCATGATGCGTGGCTTCCACCGGTGTTTGAAGAAGGAAGAGGAGCCAAAGAGAGAAGAAATAAGTGACAAGAGGTATCAATAAGAAGACCAGTGTGGGGGCAACAAGGCCGTACGTGCCTTAAGAAGACACCATTGTTGATAGAGACGGGGTGGAGAGAGGTCTCGCTACACACACACACACACACACACACACACACACACACACACACACACACACACACACGTGTGAGGGCCTCGCGAGTGAGTGAGGAGATGGAGCTCTTAGGGACATTTCGTTGTTGCTTTCAACCTCAGTTCTGACAGTTCCTGCGACGGCGCTGGAGTCTATCGTACTGGCGTTTGCCTCTCCATTGGCGACTTTCGGTGTCGTGGAGAGGGGGTGGACCTGCTGCATGGGTGACATCTTCTCCCCCCCCCCCGTATCAACCTATCCTGGCTTTGCGCCCTGGTGAGGCCACTCCAGACCGACAACCAGAGCGTAACTACATAGTCTCCTGAGACTGATTAATGCCATATATATATATATATATATATATATATATATATATATATATATATATATATATATATATATATATATATATATATATATATATATATAATCAGAAATGAAACGAAATTCTCCCTAAATGACAATTACTCAAAGATCTATTTAACGAATATGCTTCCAAATATTCTTCCAACGAGGCCAGCAGACTTGTGGCCGAGCTCTCGCGAGGTGGGTTGTGAACGTGACACGAGAACACACCCAAGTGCTCTTGTTGAGATTCACTATCTTTGTATCGCTCTAAAACACTGTGTTTCTTTTTCCTCCTTCTGTGTTTTTTTTCTCCTCCCCTTTCTTCTATATAATGTTTGACTCCGGGTTAAACGGTGACAGGAAGTTGTGGGCATGAATGAGGTGTAGTGTGAGGAGGTGTTACACTGGGTATTAAACAGCTACAGAGTGACATGAGGTGTAGTGTGAGGAGGTGTTACACTGGGTGTTAAACAGCTACTGAGTGACATGAGGTGTAGTGTGAGGAGGTGTTACACTGGGTGTTAAACAGCTACAGAGTGACATGAGGTGTAGTGTGGGGAGGTGTTACACTGGGTGACATGAGGTGTAGTGTGGGGAGATTGTAGCTGTGTCCCATGTCACAGCTACAGGGTAACATGAGGTGTAGTGTGAGGAGGTGTTACACTGGGTGTTAAACAGCTACAGAGTGACATGAAGTGTAGTGTGGGGAGGTATTACATTGGGTGTTAAACAGCTACAGGGTAACATGAGGTGTAGTGTGAGATGGTGTTACACTGGGTGTTAAACAGCTACAGAGTGACATGAGGTGTAGTGTGAGATGGTGTTACACTGGGTGTTAAACAGCTACAGAGTGACATGAGGTGTAGTGTGAGATGGTGTTACACTGGGTGTTAAACAGCTACAGGGTAACATGAGGTGTAGTGTGAGGGGGTGAGTTTAACATGGGATGCTGTTTAGCGAGATAGTTATTCACAGCACCGCTCCTGTGCCAGGTAAGTCCACTACGGGCTCACCATAGCCCGTACTACTTGCCCCGCTCCTGTGCCGGGTAAGTTACGGGCTCACCATAGCCCGTGCTACTTGGAACTTGCTCCGAGTAGCTGAATCTATAACAACAACAACAGCGAGATAGTAAACACGCGATGCCATATAGTGAGAGTTTAGCGTGAGTGTAGTGCAGAGTACTGTAGTCAGAATTTAACATGGGGTGAAATGTAGCGAGAGTTTAACGTTATGAAGAATGACTGAACGAATAGTGCAGACATGATAACGACGTGCAAGATTTTGATGGAAATTGGTCAAGGAAATAGAGAAGTAATGTTCAAAGTGAGAAATAGTACAACAAGAAATAATTGGAAACAAGAGACGCAGATAAATCACACAAGTATCAGAAGAAACTTCTTCACTTTGAGAAACATAAATGAATAAGACGAGATTAATGAGGAAGTACTGGAGCATTAGTGAGGATTCAGGCACTTCTGAGTACACTCACGTATATTTAAAAAACACACTTAAGTGTCACGTACTTAAACACAGAAGTGAATATAAAAAACAAAAAATCAGAGGTTCAGATGTCCGATATCATGAATGGTTCCTAATCTCCTGGAACCTATTACAGGTGAGTAAGCAGTGGGTCAGGCAATGTTCATCTTGTAGTCGAAAATATTTGCATCTTGATCCCCCCTTCTACTCACCATAACTTATAAATATTTTGACCCAAGTCTGAGCCTGCGTGTTGTTAGTTGTCATCCCACTGTGGCGTTTGTCCTGAAGGCAGGTAGTCTGTACCTCATCACTGTACCAGGCTGGTGATGGGGGATGAGGCATCCTTTCCCCTCCCACGCCTACACCAATCCTCCCCCCATCTTCTCCCTTCCCCCTCCTACACCTACACCAACCCTCCCCCCATCT